CCCCAAAACCCCAAAACCCCAAAACCCCAAATGTTATATAAAAGATTGGGTCTATTATTAACATTTATAAAAATGTATGTCATTATTCTGTTCTGTTTTGTTCTTGGATTATCCAGATCAAATACATGCAAGAGTGGATCTCAAAGTATGGAATCAACTATTAAAGGCCATTTCGAGTTAAATTCCTATACTTCTTCTTACTTTTCTCATGTTTTCTACAATTCTAATCGCAATGAAATGTATTTTGCTGGAGAAATGGAAGCAAGCTCTGCAGATCTTAAGGGAATATTATGAAAGACTTCTGTTCATTTGGATATTCAAGAGGTGCAAATGATTGATGCTGAGATTAACCCTCTGTCTTATGCTACAGATCCTGATGTAGAAGAACTTTACTTTCAGAGGTATAATCAAGTATATTTCACAATCATGAACTTGACGAACAACGTGGTTACCTATAACATCCAAATCAGTGACTCTAGAATGGTTAAGGAAACACGCATTGTGGTAGAGAGTAACCAGATTTATATTTCTTTCCTTGATATTCAAGATTCGACCCAAGCTCGGTCAGCCATCTGAAAAATTACGAAGTATCCTGGAACTCTTACCCAATTGTGCGTTCACTCCACATCATTTTTAAAGTAGGTGATTTTCTTAGTAAAGACTGTTCTTTTACTTACAAAATTAATGAATCTAATAGGTCAATCGTAAATTTTACCCCAACCATTGCAGGGGTCTTTATTGGTGGTTTGAGTGAAAATGGACTTAGGTATTTCTTTTGTTTTTATTTATTTTCTGGTACAGCTAGTCGTACTTGGAGTAAGGAGTTAGGGCAAATGGGAAGCTCTAATTCTTTTCAAGAAGGAGGTTCTTTGTGATTGGAGGACTACAGTATTTTGACTATTATTTTCTTTAATCAGAGGATGATTTTATACAATTTAAAACTATTAAATGGAGATATTAAATTCTCATCTTATCTTGACGAAACTACAAACCAAAGAGTTAGAGGAATTTCAAAATCTTCTAACTACATATTCATAACATACGAAAAACAAAATGGTGAAAGAAGGATCCTCCAAATGTCTGAGAGTCCTCTAAGCTTCCAAACAGTATTTTCCCCGTAAGTGTCCAGGCTAACATCAAAGATCTATCAAATCCAACACTCCTGTTTTCATCCCATATCTGACTTCAAGTTTTACTTTTATGGATGGTGCATCAGGTAGTTCAGAATATCTCTATATTCCAGGCTCAAAAACTCTCTCATCTACCTCTACTGATATGTTCTTCTTCTCACGTACTCCTATCAACAAGCTCGATAACCTTCCTCTCACCTCTGCTACTCCCACTTGGATACCTACACCTACAAGTTCCCCTTATGGACTATCTTCCTCCACAGATGATGATCGTTTCGAGTCATACAGCCCGACCGTTGTGAACATTTCAGTAACTTCTCCAATAGTCACTCTCTCGACTAATACCATAGTTAGCCAGACTTATGCCCTCTCTGTTGAAGAACCAGACTTTGCTTTCCAGGCAAGAGCTGGCTCTGTTCATGAAGAAAGTTTTGACTGGACCTGTACACTTTCAAACGTAAGTAGTGTTATTTAGAGAAATATAGCAGCAAGGAAATGTGCCAACCTGGGTTTCCGTTGATACTACCAGACAAGTCATGATTTTAAATCCAACCCCAAATGTGACTGAAGAAACTGAGTACACTTTTAATTTAGAAGGTCAACCAGGTAGTGGTCTTTTGAGCTCCCAAATAATTAAAATCACAGTATTACCTTGCTTGGTAGTAAATTGAGAGCTTTGCATATGGAATGAGCCTCAAAAATGAGAAAGCTGATCTTCTGAATATAAATTAAATAACGAGAAATGTAATCTGACAGAAAATGCAACCTCACAAACTACCACATCAAACAGAGCAAAAGAAAAAGTTGATGCTCCTCAAGGAACAAAGGCCTTAGCAAGTGCTGTTATTGGAGCTGCAGCCTCAACTGCTGTAGTTGCATCTCTGGCATCAGCATCTTCAATGAACGGATGCTTCAGTGTTGTTAACCTTTTGCAGTTATATATCTTGCTTCCAATGCTTCCGCCATACTTCCCTGAAGAGCTAGTACAACTAATAATAGGACTTGACTTCTCCTTAATATCACTAAACTTTATCCCGATCAAAGATCTCTTCACAGAAGAGAATGTAGGAAATTGGGTAGATTTTCCTCAGACCAATGAATACCTTGGAGAAATTGGCATCGGGTCAGAAAGTGCATTTATTCAACATCTCTCTTTCTTCACTAACATCATTATTCTGGCTCTGTTACATTTGCCTATACTTCTTGTATATCTACATTTTAGCAAGAAGCAGGACTCAAGATGAATGAAGCCTTTGTTTACAGGCTTGCACACAATTTTCACCTTCAATATTTACATCAGACTGATGATTGAAGGCTTGCTCTTGAACAGTGTCAGCATATTTCAGGAATTGAGGATATTTAACACTAATGCAGCCAAAAATATGGTCAGTCTTGCTCTTTGCTTCGGCTTGATGATGTCAGTTATTATACTCATGGCTCTCTCAGTTGCAGTATTCATTAAATCTCGCTCAGTTCTTAACTTGGATGAAATAGAGACTGCAAAAGAATTCTTCTCGGGAATCAAAGATGAGCATTATGCTAAGATGAATACAAGTATCTTTATGTGCGTTCGTGTGCTTTCGGTGATAATCCTTATAATTCTTAAGGATATCCCTTATGAGGTGAAATCTGGTTTGTTTTGTATAATCCACTGCGGATACTTCTTCTATCTTCTCATAGTTCGACCTTATCAAAGCACTAAGGATAACTTGATAGAAACTATTCTCCAGTTAAACATATCTATGCTTGCTCTTCCATTGACTGTGCTTAATTCTTCGGACAGGTGGTCAGATAATTTGATAACAGCATACACGTTTCTGCTTTTTGCTGGACCAGCAATAGCTTGCTTAATCTCATTTGGAGACATGATTAAGAGTGTATATCAAAAACTAAGATCTTCCAAAAGGCTTAAGAAAAAGATGGTAATTCCAGTGAATCCTCTCCATTTTGAAGAGAACAAGACTGGAGTGTCAAGCAATGTCAGAGTTTACAAGTACAATGTAAGCCCATCCACTAAATCTAACCCCAAATTTAGGCTCAAACCGCTTCTACACAAGAAATAGCATTCACTAAGAAATAACCCTTTGCATCCCTAATATCCAAATCCAGCCACTAATCCATATCTGTCCCTAATATCCTCCTCTCCCACCCCCTCTCGGGGTTTTGGGGTTTTGGGGTTTTGGGGTTTTGGGG